TGCGCAATGCCCGGCATGGCTCGAAAGGCGTGGAGTGGGGGCGCTGGAGCCTTTCGGGCTTTAGGGTTTAGGATTTAGGGTTTAGGGGTCTTCAGTGCACTGCAGGCCGGTGTGGAGCTCAGTTCCGGGTTCAAAGGGTTCTTGGAGGTTCATGGTACTTGTTAACCAAGTATGACTGTACTTATAGCCCACGTATAAGTCCCTTCAGTGCCCTAAGATGCTTATAGGTACAGTTTTTGGTACAGTCTAAACCCTAAATCCTAAACCCTAAACTCTAAGCAGTTAATAAGTACCATGAACCTCCAAGCAGGCGCCTCGGCCAGCGCAGCCTCCAGCCGCGCGCCAACACCGACAGCTTCCGAAGGTCTCCGAGAAGACGTGCAGGGTTTGGGTATATGTTGGATTCAGGGTTCATAGGGTTTAGGGTTTGGGGTTCAGGGTTGAAAGGTTTTAAAGGTTTCAAGGTTTGGGGTTCAGGGTGCGGATTTGCATTGAGAGCATGCGGCTGTTGAGAAGGTATGCCTGGGCAATTGCGTCAATGAATTCGAGGCGATGCTGAAGAGTCTTACTTTTCGCCACCTGTTCTCGTCACTGGCATGGCGTCGAAATATCCACTTCGGGGCTCGACTCCGTAGAACCCCAACTCTGTTTCTTGAGTCTCAAACTCTGCCAGCGTCATCTTTCGTCTTTGGACACACAGGTTCGACCCTTGTTTCTGAGCACACCCAAAGACCATAAGCCCCTAAACCGTACCTTGCTGCGCCACGAGCCACATCATTCCGAAGGTCCTGCCTCTACCTTCGCTGCCATCAGGGCGCGGGCACAGAGACACCAGCAACTCAGAGGCGTCATAGGGAGCTGTGCTGCCCCACCTTCGGGCACAGCTCTAGCATCTGATGTCATGGCTGTGAGGAGAAGAGATGATTTCTGTAGCCCAAAGCCAGGCATGAAGATGTTCAGAGAAGCTCAAAGACTCCAGGCCCTAAACGCCCTAAGGGTTTAGGGTTTAGGGTTTAGGGTTTAGGGTTTGGGGCTCTGAGCCAAGGCAATCGGTCCACACGGCTACGCAGCAGGCCATGTTGGAATACCGGGACGGCGAGGACGAGAGCAACACGCTGCTGCTCACTGTGGACGCCCTCATGCGCGACTTTGCATCCCTGGTCCAGGAGATGACACTTCTCGTTTCAGCCGTCAGCCTCTTTATGGTTTAGGGCTTAGGGTTTTAGGGTTTTAGGGTTTTAGGGTTTTAGGGTTTTTTGAATCTTTCGGCACTTGATACATGCATTTCGTTCCACTTCTTCGGTGAGGCAATGCGAGGCAGCCGGATATCTAGGGAAGATGGTCTTATTTAACCAATCATAACTGTACCTATGACCATATTAGGGCACTTAAGGGGCTTATAAGTAGGTTATAAGTACAGTTATAACTGGTTAGTAAGTGCCCCTAAACCTTAAACCCTAAACCCTAAACCCTAAACCCTAAACCCTAAACCCTAAACCCTAAACCCTAAATCCTAGTACAGTGACAACTGGCGAATAAGTACCATGAGCCTCCAAGTAAGGAAGACGGCCGATGTCAAGGCGCCTTCCGCAGTGGTCTTGCTTCCGCAGCTGGATGCCTTGCCGGGGGAGGCGGCCCTGGACCAGCTGGTGGACTTGCAGAGAAGGCACCTCTAGAGTCATTGTGAGGGGGGGGTGTGATATTTTTCCATTTTTTTGAAGGGTACTTAAATTCACAAAATAAGGAATAGTAACATAGGGTACTTAAGTTCCCAATAAGGAATAGTAATATAGGGTACTTAAGCCCACTAAGGACTAGGCATTTTTGAATTTGAATACTTTCCCAACCATGATCTAGGCACAGCGTGCTCCGGAACATCCTGCGCCTGGCTTCGGAAGAGCTCCCCAGCAGCCCACCGCAAGTGAAGCCCCGCGCCCCACACGGGCAGCCGGCAGCGCAAGCGGAGCCACTGCTGCTGATGTCCCCAGCCACACCCCGGCGGCCTCAGACCCTGCCCCCACTTGAGGCCCGCGGCCGCTCCGAGACCCCACGCCTAGGGCACTCACAGAGCCGCGGCCGCACCCTCAGCCGAGCCAGCAGCCAGGGGGGCCGTAGCAGAGCCAGCAGTCGAGCAAGCAACGCCAGCCATGTCAGCAACACCAGCCGCGCCAGCCGCACCAGCAATGCCAGCCGAGCCAGCCGCGTTAGCCGCGTCAGCCGTGCGAGCAGCCGAACCCGCAGCATCGATGCCCGACGCATGCCCAAGCGCTCCGGAAGCGTCCAGTCCCTTCAATCTCGAATCAGCAACTGGGCCAATCAATATCAAAGAGCTGCTGTAAACAGTCCCATGACTAGTGAGATGCTACTGTATCAGGATATCAGCATACCCGTTTCTTTTCGACGTTCCATGCTGGCCCCGCCCCTTCGCCCAGAGCCTCATCCCGAGGCGACCTCCAGCGTGGCAAGGAAGCCGCAGGCAGAGAGGATCCAGCAGACGTTGTGCAAGTTCGGATGAGTCCCGGCCCGGCCGCGGTAGGATCCTTGGCGATGGATTCAGGATGTTGCCAGGATGGGGAGGGGGGGGCGGGGGGGGGGATGGATTTGTGGAGAATCTTGTGGGACCTTGTGGTTGTTAGCATTGAGTCTTTCGTGTCAGAGCATGCCCGTAGCCGCCTCGGTGGGTAAAATCGGCCACCACAGTCGATGCTTTGAAGGCTTCGGTTGTCGGGGGACTTATGAATAGGCAGTGTTTTCTGTCGTGCCTCAAGAGTGTTTAAGGGTTCTGAAGCCCTAAACTACCCTAAACCCTATAGACCCTAAACCCTAGACACTAGACCCTAGACCCTAAACCCTAAGCCCTGAGCCCTAAACCCTAAACCCTAAACCCTAACCTTTGGACCTCATCGGGTTGAAGCCGCCAGGGGCCCTGTAGGATGCCTAGGATGCTACGGGTCTCCTTGAACCTTCGTCTAAGGGTAGTCTCGTGGTCCCTCCTTAGGGGTTTGGGGTTTAGGGTTCAGGGTTTAGGGTTTAGGGTTTAGGGTTTAGGGTTTAGGGTTTCATGGGCTAGTTCAGTTTTTGGGCTGTTCCCCCTTATACGAACAGTCTTAATAGGGACTGTTAGTATCAGGGGGCCTGAGTATGGTCCCTAGCCCTCTTCAAAGGTTTGTGATGTATGGGCCCTTGTGTTGTATAGGGTAACCCGTTTAAGGGCCCATACCCCAAGACTTAGGATTGTTGTCACTAGTAGGGTTGGGAGGGTTTAGAGGCGTTTTCGAGGTTTTTAGGATTATGTAGGGTTTGTGTGGTGTTTATAGAGGGTTTTTATCGGGCTTTTTAGGGTGATTATAGGTTTTTTAGTTTATCTGGGGTATATATAGCGTTTTTGCATTGGATGTTCAGAGGCTACATTACATCTCCTGCCTTAGGGTTTAGGGTTTGGGGTTTAGGGTTGTGGGTGTAGGGTGTAGGGCTTAGGGTTTCAGCTGTGAGGATATCGGGACCTCTCGCTGGATGAGATGCGGGCGGAAATTGAGGCAGAACGGAAGAGGTGCGAGGGCAGTGCAATACCTGTTTCAATCATGTACTTGTAGCTTCAACAGTGTCGTGATGTCGGATTGTTGTCGAAGCCTGGATGAATGAACATCCTGTTAAAGAACATAATTCATGAGCCTTCCATGGTGAGTGGCGATAGCCGTTTTGGGTTCCTAGCTGCTGCATTCTGTTCCTTGAAACGCCGAACCTGCGTGTCTGCGCCATGGCTCCCGCCCCCGTCGAAGTCGTCGAAGTTGAGCCCGTCACCGACGACGTGCAGAACTCGTTCGAGGTGGAGAAGCCCAAGAAATCCCGAGCGGACTCGCCGGCACCCAAAAAGGAAGGGAAGGAATCCAAGGAACAGGACCTCAAGGACGTCGCGAAGATTCTCGCTGCTGAGGCCCTTGACAAGAAGGCGACAATGCAGACGCAGACTCCAGCAGCAGCGGCAGCAGCAGCAGCTCCAGCAGAAGCCAAAACAACGTCTTGCCGCGTTCACGACAAGAAGAAGCTTGCAGCCCTGATCATCGTGGTCTGTGCCCTTCTCGCTACCGGCATGTTCGAGGACTATCGTGCACGCGGCCTTGCCATCATGAAGCTAGCCACCGTGCCCTTCGCCGTGACCACATCGCTCATGGGTGTGGCAGCAAGCCTCTACGTGCTGCGCGGCAAGTTTGGCAAGCTCAGCATCCCGTTCCGCACAGCCAAGAAGGATGACTGAGCCAAGGGAAGAAGATGTAATGATCTCTCAATTCTCACTGGTATGGGTGGTGCTTCTGATGGGGTGTGAAGAGCTCGCCCATGACATTGTTTGAGAATGTTCACTAGGCCCATTCTTGCCTACCAACCGCATTTATCCAAAGCGTTGGCCATGGCCAGAGGACTTCAGTGGAGCATTGGGCTTTGAAAGCATACCCTTCCACCACAGATCCAGCTCACGGCAAGCCCTCTCATAAAGCACAGCTTTGCTTAATTCGCAGACCCCATTGCCCGCCTGCAAAGCCGGGTTCTGGGACGTGTGCGCTGTCCGCACAACAGCTGAATGCCCGTGCAATATGGGCATTTCCCAAAAAACGGTGCGCCTGTTTTCTTCCGAAATCGAATAGAACCCCTATATTTAATCTAGGGGCCCCCATATAGGGGCCCCCAAAAAAGGGTACCCCTATTTCGGAAACCCCCATATGTCATGTGAGGAAGGAATCGTAGCCCTTGGGCGTTGGCATGCTGCAGGATGGCCGTCGGAGAGCCGGAACCGACAAGCCCCGCCCCACAAGCACTTAAACCTCTCTAGTTTGCAGTCCTTGTGAACCCGCAGCTCCCAAAGAGATCCGCTGCTGGGAAAGGCAAGGTTGTTGAGCAGTTGTTGCAGAACATATTGAGCCTTCTACGGTGAATGGCGATAGCCGTTTTGGGTTCCTAGCTGCTGCATTCTGTTCCTTGGAACGCCGAACCTGCGTGTCTGCGCCATGGCTCCCGCCCCCGTCGAAGTCGTCGAAGTTGAGCCCGTCACCGACGACGTGCAGAACTCGTTCGAGGTGGAGAAGCCCAAGAAATCCCGAGCGGACTCGCCGGCACCCAAAAAGGAAGGGAAGGAATCCAAGGAACAGGACCTCAAGGACGTCGCGAAGATTCTCGCTGCTGAGGCCCTTGACAAGAAGGCGACAATGCAGACGCAGACTCCAGCAGCAGCGGCAGCAGCAGCAGCTCCAGCAGAAGCCAAAACAACGTCTTGCCGCGTTCACGACAAGAAGAAGCTTGCAGCCCTGATCATCGTGGTTTGTGCCCTTCTCGCTACCGGCATGTTCGAGGACTATCGCGCACGCGGCCTTGCCATCATGAAGCTAGCCACCGTGCCCTTCGCCGTGACCACATCGCTCATGGGTGTGGCAGCAAGCCTCTACGTGCTGCGCGGCAAGTTTGGCAAGCTCAGCATCCCGTTCCGTACAGCCAAGAAGGATGACTGAGCCAAGGGAGGAAGAAGTAATGATCTCTCATGACTCACAGGTATGGGTGGTGCTTCTGATGGGGTGTGAAGAGCCTCTCCGTGATGTGACGTGATTTGAGAGTGTATTCTAGGCCCATGCTCATCAGCCAACCGTATTCATTTAAAGTGTTGGCCATGGGCAGAGGACTTCAAAGGCATGGGACGCAGTTTGTTTGTGATGATCGGATCGTATTCCGAACCTACAAGTGGGTTGTACACGCTGCTGCACAGCTTTCACTTAACATGAGTTCGCCGTTAGTCCTCTGAAAATGAAGCGAAGCTTTGCTTAATTCGATCCCTCCCCCCCCTACCGCCTGCAGAGCGGGGAACGCGTGTGCTTCCCTTCCGCACGTATGCCTGCTCACTCCGTGGCAGCTACAGACTACACTGCCATGCAAGGTGTGTGTGAGTGGAGGTCGCAAGAGGGCAAAACAGGATTGGCAGAAGACGAGCATGAGCATTTCCAACATGCATGACTTCGAAGCAGTTGAACACCCGCCCCTCTCCATGCTTTTGGAAGACCCTGTGGGAAAAAGCAGGTACATCGCTGAGCGCTTGGCAGTTTGAGATTCGGCCTCGGATCTCTGAGGATGTGCGTGATCTTCAAGCTTAGCAGGACATCGCATTGCTTAGGGTTTAGGGTTTAGGGTTTAGGGTTTGGGGTTTGGGGTTTAGGGTTTAGGGTTTAGGGTTTAGGGGATTGGCACCTGAACCTCCAATAGTTAGCAGATGGCATCCTGGCACCCACAGTTGCTGAAATTTCGTGAGTGTGTGAAACGCAGCGGCGAAAAGCAAGCTGGCTAGTTTGGTTTAGGGTTTAGGGTTTAGGGTCTAGGGTTTAGGGTTTAGGGATTAGGGGTAGTTAGCCTTCAACCTTTTTGGTTGTAATAGAATCCCCCATAGAAGGTTGACCTTTTTTGGTCTAGGGTGTTCAGCCCCGAGGGCTCTTAGCTACGCCGGACACAGTGAAGGCTAAACTGGGGAAGCCGCACCTTCCGCCAAGAGGGCGGGCAAGTTGTGTGGGAGAAGCCTATTCAGCCTTGCTAGGGTTTAGGGTTTAGGGTTTAGGGTTTTAGGGTTTTAGGGTTTTAGGGTTTTAGGGTTTTAGGGTTTTAGGGTTTTAGGGTTTAGGGTTTAGGGTTTAGGGTTGGTAGCCCAGTGGTACCCTGTACCCTTTTTTGCTTATGGGTTCCCTTATCAAGCAACCCCCCAAACAGGGTGCCCTCATCATCAGATTGTTCCTGGGCTACCAAGCCTATAAGTAAGCCCGAAACCACAATCGAGCTGGGTGCTGGGCATTGTGTGGTTTTTGGGGTGCAGCCCATATGGAGCTGGTTTGGTCAGGTGTTTAAGCTACTTCAGCTTCGGATCTCGTCCCTGCAGTGTATACCAGTGCCTGGCGGACGGCAAAAAATCCTTGTGGTACCCTACTGCAAGTCAGAAGTTGTAGGCAGAGTACCAACTGCCGATAGCAACGATAGTTGAATCAGTAGTCGAAATAGTCGCAAGAATGAAGCTTCTTGGACACTTGAGTTTTATCAAGTAGCATGATGTCCCTACCCTGCGCCCTGGACGAACTTTCTGAACGAAAAACAGCGACAGAGAGAGAGAGAGAGAGCGCGAAAGAAAGGAAAAACCCTAAAGCCTAAACCCTAAACCCTAAATAACAAATTCAGGGTTGCTCCTAAACCTTCGGCCCTGAACCCTAATCACAGCTTGAGAAGTGCAACAAACAAAAACCCAATCAAACCATGTAGGGTTCATGGGGTTTAGGGACCCTAAACCCTAAACCCTAAACCCTACGTTGCAAGTCTCCTTCTTGGCGGGGGCGCCCCACTGGCCCCGTCGAAGAACGACGGGCCCGGCCTCAGGGCACTGCGAGGGAAAAGCGTCACTTGGGGTGCTTGGGGCTTACGTGGAGGTTTAGGGTTTAGGGTTTAGGGTTTAGGGTTTAGGGTTTAGGGTTTAGGGTTTAGGGTTTAGGGTTTAGGGTTTAGGGTTTAGGGTTTAGGCTTCACATCCTTGGGATCCATGAGAGTGCGACTAACGTGATCAATATCTTGGCGGAAGTTCGAGAAGATATGGCGGGTTACCCTAAACTATAAACCCTAAACCCTAAACCCCCAAATAGCAGGATACGTTCGGAATGCTCCATATGACAGATGTCAGAATGATTTGCCAGTAAAGGTTTTTTTGGGGTTTATTCCAGGGTTCAAAATGGTTGAAAAGCTTAGGGACTGCAGTGCTTTGGGAATGAGGGGGTGTTGGGGCAGTAGCTCCGCTGGAGGCTTATGTCCGCCTTTGCTCTCGCGCAGTTTAGGGTTTAGGGTTTAGGGTTTAGGGTGGTTTAGGGTTTAGGGTTTAGGGCTTAGGCCAGCTTAGGGCTTTTAACTCCACGGCTCGCCCTTGCCTTCCCAGCACACATGCCACTCCTCAGCCCGCGACTCCGCGCTGCAAGGAACGTGAACCCTAACCCCTAAACCCTCAACCCTAAACCCCAAACCCTAAACCCTAAACCCTAGACCCCAAACCCTAAACCCTAAACCCTAAACCCGGCGCCTTGTGCCACCAGAGTCTCCGACGCCCTGCACCCTCAGCCGGGACCCTAAACCCTAAAAATCATAAACCCCAAACCCTGAACCCATCCACATCCCGGGTTTGGGGTTTAGGGTTTAGGGTTTAGGGTTTAGGGTTTAGGGTTTAGGAACCCTAAACGCTAAACCCTCAACCCTCAGTCTGAAGAAGAAGCCTAAACCCTGAACCACTGAAGGCGCAAAGAGGACCCTGAAGTGTGGGAGAAGCCCCAATGGCTGCCCCCAATGCCAGCTACGGCCAGCGCTTCACCAACCTGCCCGCGCCCTGGGAGTTTTGATGAGGGTTCATAGTCCATGGTTTAGGGTTTAGGGTTTAGGGCTAGGGTTTAGGGTTTAGGGTTTAGGGTTTAGGGTTTAGGGTTTAGGGTTTAGGGTTTGGGGTTTGGGTGTTTTGGGTTTAAGAAGCTTCACAGCCGGAGCGCGATATCAGACGCCAACCAGAAGCCGGGGTTCAGGAGCTAAACGCCACTTTCGAGCGAGAACAGGGGGCCCTGGCATGAATCCTCAGATATGGGGTTTAGGGTTTAGGGTTTAGGGTTTAGGGTTTAGGGTTTAGGGTTTAGGGTTTAGGGTTTAGGGTTTAGGGTTTAGCGTTTTCAGAAATTAGGGGTACCTTGTTGGGGCCATGGTAAACAAGGATCCTACTTTTCGGCGTCGCTCTTAAGGGTCCCTTATGTTCGTAAACCCCCATATAGGTTTTGGGGGGTTTAGGGTTTCGGGATTCGAAGCAGGAACGTTCTTTCAATCACCCTAAACCCTAAACCCTAAACCCTAAACTGTCGCAAAATGAAAGCTTTGAAGCGATGGCTCAAGGCATCTGTGATGTCTGCGGCATTCCGGTTCGTAGTGTGGTTTAAGCGGCTAGTGAATTATCCTAAACCCTAAACACTAAACCCTCAACCCTAAACCCTGAACCCTGAACTCCCTGAACTCCCTGAACCCTGAACCCTGAACCCAACACAGCCAATCATCCCTTCGACCGCAGACGCTGCCTTTTCGTCACCGCGCTCTGCGATGGCAGTCGCAACGCACTTGTTTCTTGGTAGCCCAGTTGTACCCTGTTCCCGATTTTTGGTTAAAAAGGTTCCCTTATTACAGTAACCAACCAAAAAAGAGGTGCCCCTACTAGAACATTTTGATAATATTATCATATATTTTTGTATTGTTATGGTATGGGTAGTTCTCGAGGGTAGGGTCCCTTTCCGGGTCCTTCGTACAAAGGTGCCGTACTATGTAGGGAGACCCAAAAAAACCCTTATTTAGAGAAAGACCCAAACCCTTTTGTCCTTCGTGCTAAGCGTGAGGCACTCCCTGAACCTTGGCATATCGTAAGGTTGGGCTCTGAAGCAATTCGTACACAGCATTCCCTCTTCAGCTGCCCCGTGGAGCATGGCTAGACGGGTGGCAAGAAGCCCTAAACCCCAAGCCCTAAACCCTAAACCCTAAACCCTAAACCCCAAACCCTAAACCCTAAACCCTAAACCCTAAACTGCATGCTGCGCTACCAAGGTTTCACACAGAGCTCCGTCACCTCCCGACCCGCGGGCTCCGTGCGGTGAGTTCCTGGCAGGTCCTCGACGGGCTTGGCCAGGTCTTCGCCGTGGAGCAGGGGGATTCTAGGACTCAGAGTTTAGAGTTTAGGGTTTAGGGTTTAGGGTCTACGTTTTAGGGTTTCTCTCTCTCTCTCTCTCTCTCTCTCTCTTGTTCTTTTTTTTTTTTTTTGGGGGGGGGGGGGGGGGGGGGTTGAGTTCCCTCACAAAACCCGCTTTAAACCCAAAAGGGTTCCCTCTTTTAGTCCTCTTCTAGGTTCCCTTTTGCTTCCCTCGGGGCTCCTCTTCAACCTAGGACTGCTCCGCCGGGGACTGGTCTCTTGGCAGCCCAGTGGTACCCTTTTTTCCCTTTTTTGGTGTTTCAAAGGTTCCTTAATAAAGTACCCAACCCAAAAAAAAAAGGGTGCGCTTGTTATAGTATGGTTACTGGGCTGCAAAGGTCTTCGTTGGGCCAGGAAGTTCCTCGAGTCGATGTCTTCGTGAGCCAATCCTGGTCGGCAGGGCGATGGCAGAAGACCTTGGGGCTCTGCTGCTAGGATCCAGGGTAGGCCCTCATTCCCTTTTTTAGGGTTTGTGTTCCCCTATAAACCCCTTTAAGCCAAAAAGGGCACCCTTTTTTTATTTCTAGGCTACTCCTGGGTCTAGGCTATCATCTGAACTACACGCTGGCGGTGACTGCATCCATGTTCACCTACGCGGCGGCAGCCGTCATGTTACTTCTGCATGCAGGCAGCGTCTCACAGTTGGCAGGCAGCCCCTGGATTTACCCGCTGACCGTGGACTTGCCCTTGACGGTCTTTTTCCTGATGTTCCTAAAGCCTTCGTAGGAGTTTTTTTGTTTTTAGTTTTAAAAATCCAAGGGAACATTAAGATTAACAGTAATGCTATTACGATTCTTCTGAACCCTAAACCTTAAACCAAGTATTATGATTTTTATTCAGGTTCTAAGAGGGAGTGTAGGTTCTTCTTCGGCCACGTCCTGACCTGTGGATGCCTTTCCCCATCCATCTGGGTGGACAAGCTGTGCATTCCGCAAGGACTATATAAAGCCACCCTTCGGAAGTATTGTGTATTGTTATTGAAAAACCCTAAACCCTAAACCCTAAACCCTAAAGTTCCAACGGACTCTTTTTCTTAAGGTCTTAAGGGTAAGTGTGGAGGAGATGAGGCCATCAAGGAGAAGTACGTGAGGGCTTTGCCGGATTTCGTGCAGCGATGTTCCACCATGCTCCTATATCCCCCTTGGGAACTGTTTTATAATTTTTTTATATATAAAACCCAAGAGGATTTTAACAATATTATTTTTATTAAGGTTCTAAGTGGAGTCTAGGCTCGTTTTATGGGACGCGACCTACTTTGAGCGCCTGTTCTGCAACATGGAGCTGGCTGTCTTCTTGAAGTACCAGTCCGGCCGCCACCTTGTCGTGTTGCCGCTGTGGCTTCCGCCCTGGCTACTCCTTGCCGTGCTCTTCGACTGGGTGAGCGTTCGATGCCTCGTTTTTCGTCTCCTGGGTTGGGCAGAAGGCTTTTTTCTAAATCTGCCACTGCCCGCTTCCTATCCGCACCTGGAAGCTCTGCTGCGCGTGCTTTTATACACTCTCGTTATGGGATGTGCTTACCTCCCGGCGGGAATTGCGGCGGCAATTTCGTTTTCAATGAAGCTGAAGCAGCATGGAGAGATGTTGGAGCGGCTTGCTTCTTTCGACGTGCGCTACGCCAAGTGCACAGTCGGCGCAGATCGGCCCATCATTGAGGCAACGATTGCCCAGCTGTACGATGAAATTGACGACTTACCGATACTAGGTGGGACTTTGCTACAACTTTCGCACTTTCTGAGTCTTGGGGTTCCTCTAATTTCATATTAAGGGAGCTAGAAGTTGAATTTTTATTGGGGGGGTCAAAGAGCAACCAAGGATATCTGTGGCTGTGGAGGTGCCAGAGGTCGCTGCTGCAGCTGCTGTTAGCAGACAGGACAGTGACCAGCTATTGGCCCATGCGGAGATCATCAGAGACCCTGTTATCCGTGGCCTAACAAGCTATCCTAGCCAAGAGGAGAGCTTGGACGCTTTCAACATGGAAGTCCGAGGACCGTTGCGCACCGAAATCATACGGCAATCTGGCAGTGCCACAAGTTTGCCGCTGTCGGTCTGCACGCAGGCGTTTGCACCCTTCTTCTTCTACATTTGCTCCTCATGCTTCTTGGATTGCGATGGACTGGGCGGATGTGCTGCTGCACTTAAGGCGGAAGGCTTTGACTCCTTCAGGACCCTCCTACTCGTGGACATTGATACGATGTTCCTCAACTACTTTTCATTGACCATCATCTTCCCATGTATCCTACATGCACAACACTGGGGCTTCAAACGCACACGATCGCCTTGCGCGCACGCCTGCTTTGCGGCAGCGAGCACCTTTCTTGCATACTTTTATGCCTTCGCGCTGCTGGGCATAAATGGGGGCAACGCAGTGGCGCTCGGCACGAGAGGCGCAACTCCCACATGGCTGCTGTGGACCTTGTCCGTTGGCATGTTTTCCGTACTGCAATGGTTCCTGATCTTCTACAACCAGGCATAAGGAGGGACCCCTGCAAGAACCCTCAATTTCTGTAATCTTCTTCCCCTATAAACAAAACCCCGATAAATACCTTACATAGTCCCTAAATGTCTTCGTAGCTCCTGCATCAACCCTAAGTTTCCTTAATTGAAGGGTTTAGGGTTGAGGGTTTAGGGACTCTCTAAGGGTCCCTCCTTCAGTCCCCTTCAAGGCAACGCCGGCGCCCGCTGCCTCGTGTCGAACCCTTCTCTGTGATGCGAAGCGGATGGGTTTGGAGTAGGGAAGGTTTAGGGTTTGGGGTTGGGGGTTTGGGGTTTAGGGTTTCTTCAGGGGTATAAGGAGGGACCCAAGAATGAAGGTATCCTGAATCTTATTCCCCTATAGAACCCCTATATGTCCTTTTGTTTGGGCACTTTCTACCTAAGTAGCCCCTAAATAACCCCCAAACAACCCCGAAGGTCCCTTATAAGGGTCCCTCCTTTAGTCCCTTGAGTTTCTTTTTTCAGCGTTTGAAGTTCTGGTCTCGAGGCTTTAGAGGTATTCGATGCACACGTGTCAATAGTTTGCTGGTCGGGCGACATTCCCCGTGCATCTGCAGGCCTTGAGACTGGAGCAAGGACCTGGGAAAGACCTTCCGAGTCAGGAGTCGAGGTAGACACGAGTAGATTACATCTCGTGTGTGTGGCCAAGGTTTCTGGAGTGATACGTGACAAAGTCTGAGCAAGCATCTAGCAAAGATATAGTTGCTGAGCTCAGGCACGAAGCTGTTTCTCGAATGGGCTGCTCCACGATCAGGGGGAAATACACCTCCGAAGCGCGTTTCACAGGATGTTCTAGTATAAGTGGATTGGTGTGTGTGTGTGTGTGTGTGTGTCGAGTAGGTCGACCATGCTGAGATTCCACTCAACACGGGCAGGATGTGTAGAATGTCTTGGCAGCCCAGTGGTACCCTTTTCCCTTTTTTGGGGGGTTCAAGGTTCCTTATAAAGTAACCAACCCAAAAAAGAGGGTGCCCTTATTATAATATGGTTACTGGGGCTGCTAAGATGTTTCCTGGCGCAACCAGCTCATCCGATCCTTGAAGGGGATCCACAACGCGATCCGCCACGCGAAAGCTTTATAAGAAAATACTTGGGATGTTCCCCCTGATACTAACAGTCCTTAATAGGGATTGTAATAGGAGGGTACCACAATCCGTATGAAGGACTGTTAGTATAAGTTAGAAAAAACCTTACAAAGTTGTTGGAGTCAAAGAGTTCCGGCGAGAGCTTCCAGCACCCCAGCACTGAAGGTTCATGGTACCTACTCACCAAGTATAAACTGTAATTCCTCATAACCCACATATAAGCCCTGTAAGTGCCAAATATGGTTATAAGTACAGATATAAGTACAGTTGTTGTTGGTTTATACGTACCAAGAACCTCCAAGTAGTAGCTCTAAACCCTAAACCCTAAACCCTTAAGTACCATGAACCTCCAAGTGCAGGTCGGGGCAGGTCACGGACCTCCAGCACCGCCTCCAGCAAAGCCGCGCAGCGCAGCGGGTGGCCCCAGGGGCGGGTTTAGGGTCTAGGGTCTAGGGTTCCAGGGGGCAGGTTTGCATGGGGGGAAGGTGGGTTTGTAGAGATTTGGGCCACGGCACTTTGAGGCTTAGATGGGCTTAGGTTTTCTGGTTAAGGGGGCTGTTCTTTTTTTTTTTTTTTTTTTGGGGGGGGGGGGGGGGGGATGGGTGGAGCCGGCTTGGGCATTGGGGAGGTTTTATTTGGGTGTCGGGGAGCGTGGCAGCTTGCCTGCTGAAGTTTAGAGTCTAGGGTTGCCTCGTCAGTTTCGCGGTCAGCGTTTTCGTCGTTACCAATATCCTCGCCATCGTCATTGTCACCGTCGTCATCATCAAATAGTGAGGGGTCGCCCCCCCCTAAACCTCCCTAAAAACCCTAAACCCTAAACCCTAAACCCTAAACCTAAACCTAAACCCGAAACTTAAACTGACCCTTCAGCCAAGCATCCCCGAGTCAAAAGCTTCTAGAAGGATTGATTGTCGACTATCCCTAGTGTGCGCATCCTGAAGTACAACTACTGTACCCCCACCCCCAGCCCCCCGCCCGCAGCGATTCGGCCCCTCCTGCCCGACTTCCCGCCTGAATTCGACTCGGAAACGTCCACCGGTGCAACAAACACATGCATGCTGTGCCTTCACAAACTAGGACTCGGAGCAGGCCTGTTTTGGGTTGGGGTTCCCTTTGAATCCCCTTAAAGCCAAACAGGGTACTCTTTTTCCTTCCTAGGCTACTCCTCGGTCCAGCAAACTATGTCAGAGCAGCTACGAGTCTTTGGGGTGAGGTTGCACTGGCGGGGGCGATGCAGACTTGATGCCTTTGCGTCTCTTTTGGTTGGGGGGGGGCGGGGGGGGCCACAGACTTGATACCTTGAGTGTCCTTTTTGGGTGCTATGGACTGATACCTTCCACATCGAAGCAAACCACGGCTTTGAGGCTGGAGCACCTCCAAAAAGAAGTCGGGGAGCTTGCTGCAAGGCGCGCCCTTTGTGAGCCTCCTTGGGCAGCCCAGTGGTGCCCTTTATCCCTACTTTTTTGGGTTCAAAGTTTCCTTGTCAAGAAACCAACCCAAAAAAAGGGTGCCCTGAAAAAAATGGTTACTGGGCTACCAAGTTTACCATCCTGTACCCCCCACAAGAATCGGAAGTCGCAGTCGTGCTTGTCGGAAGACCGTGTCCGTAGCTGATCCCCACGCATCAGTTTGAGGAAGCTCCTGCGTGGGATAGTTTGTTGCAGCTGTGGTGGATGAGTCCTTGAATGCAGTTAGCAACTTTGACATCGGTGCATGTCCTGTTCATCTAGTGTAGAAGTGGTACATCCTGAACCCTAAACCCTATAAGTGCGTTAACAGCAAGGGTCCGCACCAAGGGCCCTTGCTAGCTTGAGAACGTTGCCCTAAACCCTAAACCCTAAACCCTAAACCCTAAACCCTAAACCCTAAACCCTAAACCCTAAACCCTAAACCCTAAACCCCAATCGCCGCTGGTGGCAGGCTCATGACTGCAAAGCGCCAGGGCCCTGGCTCCTCTGGGTTTTTCATGTGTGGGCCCATCCCAAATCCCTCAACCCTAAACCCTAAACCCTAAACCCTCAACCCTAAACCCTAAACCCTAAACCTGGTGTGCATTCGGTGTGCACTGTGCTACCGGGGCTTAACGGTTTCGGGTTCGGTTTAATGCTCAGGCTCTTGGGTGCCAGGGCTGAAGAAGACCTGAAAACAAGAACCCAAAACCCTAAACCCTAAACTGGGTGTTCGAGTACTATGCTTTGATACTTTTTCTGGTTCTTGGTTCCCCACCATAGCTACTTATACCTAAAAGGTATATACTTGTTTTCCAGGGTCTACTCCCAAGTAGGGGAACAAGCCTGTCAGAGCCAACTCGCAATGCCCTTGGGCTAAGGCGGCTTCCAAGCCGAGTTGAGCCCTCTCAAGGAGGACGCATCTTCTTGGCGTGCGAAGCAGCCATCTGTTTAGGGTTTAGGGGTTTAAGGGTTTAGGGGCATCAAAGAGTCCCAGCTGCAAAAAAAGGGTTTAGGGGTTTAGGGGTTTAGGGTTTAGGGTTTTAATGATCGAGTGCACAGAAAGAAAAGGGCATAACAGAGCAGCCCTCACTGCATGGATAGCTTGCACTAGGTTTCGTCTACCCATAGAGTTCTTTGAAAAAGGCCTGCCAGCCCCTTCCACATCTGGGATGGCCTGTGGCATCTTACTATAGGCTTATTAATGCGAAGCAGCCATGAAAACTCGCGAGGCCTTCCTGGAAGCCCCAGAAGCCAACCTTATCCTAAACCCTAAACCCTAAAACCCTAAAACCCTAAACCCTCAACACATGCGAACCCACCACCTGTGTCTGTGTGTGTGTGTCTGTACACCAGGAGCCTGTGTTGAGAGAAGCGACCTGCTGAGAGGAAATCGACGCTCTTCGGAAGCGAGTCCAGGCAAATGGCCAGGGGGGCGGGGGGGGTTTAGGGGTTTAGGGTTTGGCGTTTAGGGTTTCAGGGTAATTTCAGACGGTTGATTGGCTTCAGGGTGCTGTGTATTGGATTTCCCTAAACCCGAAGCCCTAAACTCTCAACCCTGGATGCATTCACAATGGATGTGTTCTTTGGCTGAATGGCCCTACAGACTCCAAAACTAACCCTAAACCCTAAACCCGAACGAATCCCCTCTGGCCTGGCAGCTCCCTAAGAATCTGCCGGAGGATGCGCGGGAGGGAGATGAAAGTCGCCTTCAGGCAGGGCACCTTCGGCTTGTGGGGTGGCTCCCTACAGGGTTTAGGGTTAAGGGTTTAGAGTTTGGGGTTTAGGGTTTGGGGTTTAGGGTTAAGGGTTTAGAGATTGGGGTTTAGGGGACCCAGAGTAGGCCCTTACTTCCCATTTGGAAGGTTTAGCTTCCCGAAAAATCCTTGTAAAGCCAAGAAGGGTACTCTTTTTCTTCCTAGGCTACTTCTGGGTCTACTATATGTATCGGAATAGAACTACATGGTCATATATGTGTATACATGCATTTCTAGCAGCTATACATTATGTAGAATTATTATTCATTATTCATATGTAGATAGTTCTATTTGTGAACTTTTTTTATAGCTTTATATAGTTATGATAGCTGCATGTATTTATTTTATTATACATAACTATACAGTTACATACAGCGAGAAATAGTTGCATGTATATACAAAAAAGAAGGTCATAGCTATAGATAGGTGTATTATATATATATATATACAGTTATAGAAACACGATATGAATGTGCCTCTGCATCCCCCAGCCCTACGTCAAATCAAGATCCCGAGATGGGATCTCTAGCTGTGCCCTGCGCGTCGTACCTGAGCCCTACCTACAACAATCCCTATACTACTTCCCAAGCCCCCCCCCCCCCCCCATGTATCCTGTACTGCTTCCCAAGTGTCCCCCCCCGATGTATCCCTATACCTATACTACTCCCAAGCGTACCCCCCCCCCCCCCCCCCGCCCCCCCAAGTATCCCTATACTACTTCCCAGGCGCACCCCCCCCGCCCCCGCCATGTTGGATGCCTACATTCACTTCTCCCCCCATAGGCACCGGTAAGGCAACCCCAAGCCGCAACTCGTCAGGGTTTTGATCGTCGGGCTTAGGGCTTAGGGTTTTAGGGGTTTATGGGGTTTGGGGGTTTGGGGTTCAGGGTTTCGGGGTTTTGGGGTTTTGGGGTTTTTGGGTTTTAGGGTTTTGGGTTTTGGGTGCGGGC